GAGTATGTTATCCCGTTGAGTACAAAACTCAACGATAAATTCCAAGCGTTAACTTCGTTGAGCAGTTTCCGTTGAGCAGAGCACGAAAGTCCCAATCGAATACGGCCGATGATTTCCGATGAATTCTAAAATTTTTCCTTATACTGGCCCTCTATGTCAGATTGTATGGAATAGTTTCATGTGAAGACGTCTGAGACGTAACATCGGGAACATTCCGATTGTATACAGTAACAATGATTCCGAAATTTTATATGTTGAACAAAACTAGACGGGAAATGTCAACAAGTCTGTAGAATGGCGGCCATTTTGAAAAATAAAAAATAAAAAAGGCCGCTTCCTCAATTTAAAAAAAAAGCCGGACGTGAAACATGTTTTTTTTTTACTTGGCCTTATTTTTAGATTGTTACTCTAAAATCAATTAAATAAAGCAAATGTCTACATTTTCATAGCTTCCAGGAAATCTCTCTGGACCTACTCCGAGAGGTTCCAAGCGATCCCTGACCATGCCAACTTACATTCCAATCAGCACCCAACTCGATCGGGGCCATCATTCCATCCTTGGCACCACAACTAGTTATATTGTTATACAGTATCTCGTATTTGTCAGCAACTTTATAAAATATTGTTCACTAACTCAATAAAACCATGGTTACATTACATTTTATTCATTTACCTTTTTTTTTTTTTTTAAATCTACTGTTCTTCAAAATGATGATTCTAATTACAGTTTTATCAATGTAAAATCTGCTGGCAAGTGTCAATTATCTGTTAATTCAGAAAATGAACCTTTATTCACATGATTATAACTTGTTATTTTAAAACAAAGATACAAACAACTGAAAATGAAATTACTGACATAATGGACTGTCTCCACATATTCTACAAACAAAACATCACTATTGGTAAACAGCCAAAGTAAATTGGGTGTCAAAGGTCATGTGGCATACTGTAAACAACACTGAGACATCTTTAAGTAACACAAAACCAGTGTCTGGGTTCCTCCACCACAAAAGCAACATTTTTATAGAAAAAGAGAAATTTTATCTATTACAACATATATTTCATGGCCATATAAAACATAACATGAAAACCTTAGTCAATGAAAGTGCAGAATTTCTCATTAACAACAACCATTGGCTTTTATTATTCAGGGTATATAGTAAAGTAAGATATTGTTGAAGCTTTTAATGAGACACTGAAATGAGAGTTCAGTTTTTGCCGATTCACTGATGTTTTTGGTGAAAATCCTCAAAACATAATTGCCTATTAACATATAAGAAACGACATTTGTCTATTAATAAACGGATTTAATTAAGTACTGATCATATTGCACAGTTTGTTCATTTAACAGATTTTTAAGATTTGTTTTTGTCGTCGTTGATTTACCCAACTATAAAATGTCAGTTAGCACACCCGCCGCCATGAAAAAATGGAAATTTCAGGAAAAAAAACACTAATTTTTCTTTATTATTATTATGCTTGCCACTGCCTTGATATCTCTGAAAATAAGATATGTATATTTCTTCCTAATTATATAAATTTAAATCATTTAACCATTTCATTACTAAACTGTTTTCATTCAACAATAAAATTTTATTTTTATTTTCTAATGTCCAGATATTTTTGCAACACCATTCACTAAATAAGAAAACAAAATTTAATTTTTTATTTTGTTCAGCCCTCCTTTAACAATCTTAAAAAAAAATAAGTTTGTGAAACAAGGAATAAAAAAAGTCGTGTCTAAGGGCGAAGGCATCATGACTTTCAAGAGGCCTTTTCTTACTCCAGTCGAACAATAATGGGCTAAATAATAGTGTACAGAAAAAATTTGGTACTGGAGTAATGATTTTAATAACTTCCATGGATGGGAGGCACACACAAAAAAAGACCAGGCCTGAATAATACTAGTACTCTATGTGTTAGGAAAAATATTGATGAAAAATAAATTTAGGAAAATGTATCCTAAACCCATGGTGGATTTTTAAGGTACAAAGAGTGGGCATCTGGAGGTTCATATTCTCAAAATGTTCTCGCCCCAGCCCCAACCATGGTGGGGCAGAGATGGTGTGGACTCTTACGTACTCTACTCCCTACTGCCAAATCCTGCATACACCCCAGCGCTGTATGGCATAAGTATGCTATTTGCTGAACTATTCAGATTTTCTATATTATGAGCATCAAAAACAATCCACTCAGTCATGTTAAAAATACAAGACAATGATGTATTAAACTTCACAAGTCCCACTTATTGTATGCACATGTATCCATTAATTTACAAAATAAATCTATAACATTTACTATTTTGACAAAATAAATTTTTGAGCATGAAAAAATCTTTAAATTTACTGCTTCCATAAACGTGCAGAAAATACAAGATTTCCAAATAATACAAATCTTCACTTTCACAGTAAATATTTTTTTTAATATAGTAATAATATTTATAAATATAATTCACCAAATGTATCCAGCTAAATGAATTTTATTGCAGCAAAATTATTCCTGCTTATGTGGGCATTTAACTGGATGTTGTTGTATGATCTGAGAAGCAAAAAATAATCTCTTAAGTATCGATATTATTTGTCATCTTATCCCAATCACGTCTATCTCTAAGCCAATACTATCTATCAAACTTCATATGGTCATGCTTTGAAGCATGTAGACCAGGCTTCCCACTATTAAGAATAAGTCCTGCTGGAAATAGCTAGGCCCAGCTAATAATGTTTCCTTTTCACAGTCATAAATTATACACATGAAATGTGTTCTTTGCTGATGGCTTGTGAATGGTTTACCAATGGGTTTCAAAGGTGCAATGCAAAGGAAAGGCGCAACATACTAGCCTAGTGCCAGTACGTGACAGGCTTGCCCACCTTTTTGTTAAACTTTGCCAGTTTCGAAGTTCAAATACCGTCTTAGTAAATTCTCCAATTAATATTATACCTCAGCTGTGCAGTCATATGGCAAGTTTCCCCTTGGAAATTGGTGATTTAAAATGCTGAATTTTCTAGACTATCACTGACCACTTATAATCTCTGTATTCCTGACTACTTGAAACCCTTTACATAGTGGGGCTCATACATTTATATAAAAAAAAAATTAAATATTTAATCCATTAAATCGATCCAATAAGCTCCATGTTGATGATTCTTCCACAGAGTTTTTACAAACAAAATGAATAATATTTATACAATGAGAAATTTCATAAGGTATGGTAGTTCCACAGACTATGAGAAACAAAATAAGATCTCAAATTCATATTGTTTGGAGACTAGCTGTCAGAGAATCTGTCGTGTCAAGGAGATCGAATGGATTCTTCTTACAAAGTATATTGTCTGTATAACAATAATTAGATCGAATTTCCCCCTTATGAAAATATTTTTGATTTGAAACATACTATATTATGTAACAACAGTCCTATTTTATATAAACAAACAAAAAAAATAATTGATGCATACAGTAGTTGTTCGAAAGACTGCCAGGATGATACAAACTTCTGTTAATGCATGATTAAATAAAATGCTTACATTTCTTTAATGTTTTTTTTTTACTTTATTTTAAGTGGAGTCCTAATTTATGGCAGAGATTTTCTAGAAAATTTGAAAAGTTTATTTATTTTAATCTAGATGAAAACCCAGTCTCTATTTTTTTCTACAATGCAATGTTTGAATTATTTGACATAGAAACTGTCACTTATGTTTAACATTATGTAAAGACAGTATGCCCGATCCTTGGGGCCACAGAATAATCACAAAGTACAAAATACTGTGAAAAATCCTGGTCTTAAAGTTCATCTAGTCTACAACAAATAAACTGTATTTTAACTTTAGTTAAAACATGAAAGATTTCTGCATGGTTTGATATATACAGTAGACAAACCTTAATATTTTTTAGGTTTTTACTGCAACTTTCTCAATGTCAGTCTTTATTCCTGTTGTTCAGCAAGTTATCAAACAATTTGTAAATTGTTACATTCATTCTTTTATTTATTTTAAGTTTAAACTATCAAGGTTTTCAGAATTTAAGAACATACTGTACTGTAACAATTTTATATGTGCCACAAAACTGAGAGAAAATGACCAAATAATTTAACTATATAATCGTTAATCATCTGACGATATGAAAAAGACCAATAAATCTATCAATCAGTAATGCCTAAATTAAAAACACTATTATTAATTAAGAAAAAGTGGATAGTAATATACATAGAACATAGAAATATTACTATTAAGTACACAAATCTAAATACATATGACTGTAATTCACAGTTCATAGCATAGTAAACCAAGGTAAATATATACTGTCTTGGTGAACTTAGGAAAAAAGCAAACATAACAATCACAAGAAACATAAAATAAAATGGTCAGTTAAGTATGACTTTAGATGGTAATATAGTTTTTAAATGATTAAATGACTTCCAAATAGTCAACGATATATATTTATATATAAAGTGACATCCATCAATCATTGTACAGTGAATTTAGAGGGGAAATGAAGACAATTAATGGTGTTTTGTAGAACAATTCATTATTTTCTCCAGCTAGATAAAATTCTTTTGTGGGTTTCATCATCTTTCCAAATGGTTTGATTGTATAGGCATTTAGAAAGCAGATAATTATAGGCCTAGGTATCTGTTGGTGTTTTGTTGACTGACAGAACTAAGGCCATCAAGCAGAGGAAAGTGGGACTTAATGAGTTCCCCAATCAATGACAATACATTAAGTAGTGCTAAATCCAACCTCAACACAAAAACCCTATAAAAGGGGAGCAGAGTAAACAATGCCCTCCCCATTCAGCATGGATCTTTTCACTTCTAATGAATACAATACTTGGTCCATTGACCAAGAACAGAACCCAGCCAGGCTTTTATGAAAACATCAAAGAGGCGCTCAGGAACCAGTGACTGAAAGGTTATTGAAGCTAAAAACCGTCCTATGTATATTATATCATTAACTTAGGCTAAACATACCGTAGGCAGCATCGATGCACTTGGGTAACCGCCGGTGAAAAACCGATAATGTTGTCCATATCGAAAATGATCAAGCTTAGACGAGCCTGAAAAACAACAAGCATTGAGGTCAAACCCGGTTTAACGTCGAGCACGGTGGCGATTTACCACCACCAGGCTAACTAAGATCAAGTTACGAATGAAGACAACACCAAATAAATTTTAATAAAAATACAACCCGCACCATATCAGTTATGTAATTATAACTACAATATAGTTATAATACTCATCCAAAATACAAGTAATGTGAAGTGATGATCTATCTAAATTCACTATACACACCGTGCTAAAGTTTTCTACTTACCCCCAACAGTGTCGTATATCCGAAATAGTGGTTGTTCTTTTACGCTGTCTTTCACTGATTCACCATAATCGGGGGCTAGTCGCTTAATACCACGCTGTAAAATGATAAACGATTCTATAAAAAGCCGAGACAACAAACTAAAATATTTAAGGATCGTCGAGGTATTTTGAGTAATAGTTGTAAAAGTCATAAAGCAATCATAACAAACCTGATCGTCGCTGGAGTTCTTACATTCCCCTTCAGTCACTAGGCTAGATTTTATATCGTTCAGATCCCGACTAGACGTGGTCGAATCGGCCAACTTCTTCGTCGGGATTTCGCCTGGGCCACCTTCGTCTTTGAAGGAAATCGTCTCATCTCCGGCAGCTAAATCCTCGCCAGCCCCACTAGGCTGTTGTGGCATATCTTCCTAGGCCTAAGCAGATATTGTTTTGGTGTAAAATCTTCGAATTTTATCTACACTCCGCTTTGAAAAAATCCACGCGCGGCACTCACGTATCCTGGCGGTTGTATACAGAGCTCAAAGGCAACTACATCAAAGCCTCGCCGCACCCTTGATTGACAGGTCGCTTTGTCATTACAGGAGCGCCTTGACCAATCAATTACCTCAATCCGAGTGATGTAATATTTCCTCATGAATATTTATTACGTTCTTCGCATACCATTGAAAAGCAAAGGTAAGCCTGCGATTGAACGGCTAGAAAGAGTGAATATCGTCGTTCGTTAGGTTGTTTGTCAGCCTATTACAATTATCAAATAGACGTTGCTAAACCAACACGAGACTACGCAACGGTCATCGCCCTGACTTTACCTTTCAAGGGTTTTGAATGGTATTTTAAAGACTTGTAATCGCCTAATGTCCTTGTCCCACTTAATGTACTTTATGAAGTACTCAGATTTGAAACATTATCTTAATGTTATAAAATTAATTTTGTTAATAGATTTAGATTTTAATGCGTCTGTGTTTGTTTATAATAACCAGCATATTATCACTGCTATAAAACTTGTTTACATATTTATTTATTTATTCAACTGATTTAAATATGACTGTCCATACTTTGGATAAGGACACGAAGCACGATTTCTAAAGTAAACTTTAGATAATGATATATTCGAATAAATAATAATATTATAACAATGTTGTACTTCTATAGCGGAAAATGCCGGAACTTCGATGGGCTTAACATAAATAATTATAAAATAAGAATTTAAAAAAAGATAAGAACCTAAAATCATATATATATATAACAATAGAGACATTGATAAAATCAAATGACACGGTTGACGTATTGGAAGAACATAAGTATTTAATTGCACACAAATATTTCGTCCTGTCCTCAGCTATATATATAGCTTAGACGTAATATATTAGCAGATATTTCATCTTGATCCTCCTCAAGACTTCGTCAGTGCTTTAGATCAAGGAAAAATGTGTTCTAAATATTAGCAACGTGCTAGGATGTTTTAAACAGTTCCATTTGTTATTTGATGCATTTAAATATATAGGCCTATATTAAATAAGGAACCTCATCAATGAGAAGTCATTCATTCGCTTATAATTTTATGAACATATATATATTTGATTGTGTACGGTATGTGTTTATACGTCTTATGTCTATGGCCAACTTAAATTGAACTATTGAGTATTATTAATTCAGCAGTAACAAAAAGCATCGGTGTGATATTTCTTATATCTGTTATTATTTTTTTTTTATTGTTATTATTGTTATTTTATTATTATTATTATTATTATTATTATTATTATTATTATTATTATTAAATTGGACTTTTTGTCTTGCAGCGTTTATATATTTCTATGAATTTCTCAACAACCATCGTCATCAATAAAATCAGAATAGTTAAGAATGACAATTACATTTTAAAGAACTAGTTGAATCTGCGCAAATCACACTAGAAAATAATATACGTCACAAAACTTTAATAATATTAACCAGGTACCTAACAGTTTAATAATGTGATGTCCATGTCACTATATTGTACCTTTTAATAACAAGCTTATGTGTAATAGTAATATATAAATTGTATTTATGGCGACTTCTCTATAACATTACATTCTACAAGTTGAAGTTTACACATGGAAGTCGGTGCAATTTGTACGTTTTTATGCGCAAAGTGGTTTTATGACGATTTGGAAGACTTCAAGTTCTTTGTCAAGTTCTTGAAGATAAAGAGGGCGCTAGTCAGTCTGCCTTTAAAGTTCCAAAAGTTTTGTACTGTCCAAGCGCAAAATTATACCGCCAATACAATTATATAAAGCCTATCCTACCTAGAGATCTACTATAAATATAAAGGAAAGGGAAAAAAGGAAAGGAAAGGAATCCAAAAGCAATTTATTCCGCTTTGTATTATTTTAAAGACAACAAACAAGTATCCGAGTCAAAGTGCTCCGTGATAAAAGCCCATGCCCCTGTTTGCATTCATGAGAAGATGGGCTATGACTTGCAGTTATTTTGCGACCTGATCCTGTCGCCTGCCTCTCTTCTTTCCCTATTTTCTTTATTAATACTGATAACTGCCGATGTCAAGGCTAACCGTTACACCTGAACTCTGCTGTTCATGGATTCCTTAGATTATAGGCGTACAATCACTTCCCGCCCTGATGCCACTCAGTCCATTATTTGACACTTTTCGAAACCCTCATCTTTCCGGGGTTTTTTTTTTTCTTGTTCGTGGATCATGTTTTCATGTAGGCCTATTTTGGTTTATACGTAAATTCCTGATAAGTTCAATTATCTTGTTTATTTTTACTCTATTTAGTAAACCGTCACATCAATTTAAAACTGTTTGCAAATATTCTTCATTTAATTTTAAACACGGCCTAGGACTAGTCCTATTTACAATACCAATAGGCCTACAATAGGCCTAAATAACAATAACAATCAATATGGCAACAGCAGTAGCAGCAGCAATAAACAAATAACAATAACAATTTAGCAATAGTAATAAATAGAAATAGCAATGCCAAACAGTAACATAATATCAAACAATATAATAAAAACAACCACAGACACCCACAGCAACAACAGCAACAGAATAAAAGTAAAATAATTATTATCATCATATTTTTTTTTTAATGAACGTTCCTCCAACGCAATTCTTGAAACGGCACTCCATCGATAAATCTTATAATATCAACTATATTCGTTAGTTTTTGGGGGTTTTTTTTCTATTTAGGTGGGAACGATTATTCGTCAGGGTATTCCTTTTCATGGCTGAGAAAGTTCTTTCACGTGGTAGGCCAGATCTTGCACACAAGAACCAAACAAACTTACAACAACAAAAATGCCACTAGAATGTCAAATAAAAGAAAATAACCACAAACTCATCTGTACTTATTATTTCATAATTGGAGCACAGTTATTTATCCATAAGGGACTATTGGTATTCGATGGTACTTTTACAAGCAGACACGGACACTTTATGGATAATAACAATATTATTACAAAAGTGTCAACTAAAACAACAAAAGAAAATAGTGCATACTTATAGAATGCTGAAACAAATTAAAAGTCGTTATAATCAGTTGTCGAAAAGTAATTTGTTGTATGTTTTTTCTTTTTCCTTTTTTCTTTTTTTTTTTTTTTTTTTTTTTTTTTTTTTTTCTTTTTTTTTTTTTCCTTTTTAATTTTTAGATAGGATAAGAGTGTTTCGGTGTGAACCACTATAAGTCGGAAGAAGACTTGTTTCCAGTGGAGTCCTTCTGGTGGTTAATTGGGCAATACACCGGGAGACAATCCCCTACTCTTTTCCAAAGAGTGTACGTTCTTTAACGTGTTTGGGTCATACTGTACGGGACGCTCGCGTACGGGACCAACTTATAAACGTCTCGTCCGCGAAAGACGTTGCTCTCGTAACTTGCATTTCAGTCCTCCAACTGAAACACAAGGAGGAGCAGAGCAGATGGGAATTGAACCGGGGACCAGAGATTTCCACGGTTCAACGCACGTACAGTGGCTACCATCAGTTTACCCAACTGAGCTAAGCTCAGAGTGCATAGAAACATTGCAGTGTGTTAGACATAGGCTAATGCGCTATATAGAAATGGAAAATTCATTTTTTTTTTTTATGATTCACTAGTTTATTTCCACCAAAAAAAAAAAAAGATGGAAAAACCCCTAAAATGAGTAGTAATTTTGATAATTATTACCGTATT